GTCAGCTAAGAAGCTCTGTTCTGGAAACATCTTGGTTGAAACATCCACAGCTAAGCACAGTGAACACCTCTTGAATTCAAAGGCCATTGGGGATATACCCATTGAGGTTACTCCCCACGCTTCCTTGAATTCGTCACGAGGAGTTATTGTTGAGAGGGACTTGAAGTCTATCCCCGAGTCAAAGATCCTTGCTGTTTCTCCAGTCAAGGAGTTTCATCAGTTTGAAGGATCTCCACTCGTCAAGATGGAATTCCGTTCTGATTTTGATGTTTTCATCACCACGTCCACCTTCCCCTGTTAAGGCAGTTTATTTGAACTATAAGATATGGCCCTATATTCCCAACCCTCTCCGATGTTTTCAGTGCCAGCGGTTCGGTCACTCAAAGACATCTTGTCGTGGTTCTGTGACATGTGCTCATTGTGGTAGCAAGGACCACAATGCCTACAAGTGCAAACTGGACCCTCACTGTGTTAATTGTAGTGGTTCCCATCCCACTTACTTTAGGTCTTGCCCTAAGTGGGTGGAAGAGAAAGAGGTACAGCATTTGAAGACTATTAATAACATCTCTTATCCTGAGGCTCGGAAGCTATTGTTCCCTACTACATCTCGAACATATGCCACTGCACTACGCTCCACTGCTACAGTGGCAGTGCAGACAGACCTTTCTGTACCTCCATCTGAGTCTTTTTCACGTCATGTAAGAGGTCTTCTGCCTTCCATGGATAGTAGAGTTGATAGGTCTACGTCCACTCCAATCTCTGTCCCCACTATTCCTTCTAGTGACTGCCTGGGTCAACCTCCTCAGGCACCAGCCTGTGGTGTCCGTGCAGGTCCTTCTTTGGCCCCTAAAAGCAGGACGATCAATCAATCACATCCTCAGTCATTGGATTCTCACTCTGATGACAGAGATCTGCCCACTCGATCAAGGGCAGGATCCATGGAGGTCGGTCGATCTCCATCAAGTAAAGAAAAATGGTGTGGTCGTAAACCGAGGGGTTCTCCACCCTGTTCTCCTAAACCTACATAAAAATGGCCACTTT